AAAGCTTACCTCATGCAAATGCTCGTCGGTGGGCACGACGGCACTTGGGAATTGCCATTTCCCATCGCTCGACCGGAAGACTAAATAAAGGGACCGATCGAGTTTGCGATCCAACCGTCTCACGTCGTTCGTCTTGTCGGCCTCTGTGATTCTATCCATCGGTCTCTCCAAGGGCACGACCTCATCGGGCGCTGCCTTTTCGCCATCCTCGGTCACCCGGTTCTCGGCGTCTTTGAGTAGAATATCCCGTATCCGCTCTTCGCTGCTCAAGGTACTACCAACTAAGAGCTCATCGTTCCACGCGTTACGGCCCTGAGCATAATATCTGCCGAGCTCCTTGGCAGCGATATACCCCCGCTCTTCAAACTTGATCCTCCAATCTAGATCCGCTGCTGTGTCCTTTTTGAAGTAGAGCGTATGACGGAAGGGCAGAACCAATCGCTCATTCAGGCGCTTCTGGTAGAAGTAGAAGGCATTTTCAAAGGGGGTCAACGCTCTCGTGATCAAGGGCGCTCTCGTGAGGATGATGCCGCTCTTTATGCGGTACTCGGCCCGCGGGGACACGGTGATGGGCGGATGGGGCTGCGATTCTGTGGGTTTTAGATGATTGGCCTGCGCTGTCGTTGCTGCTTCGGCGGCGGCAGCAGAGTACGAGCGGGACTGGGAGCTCCGGCAGCTGGCGCATATATTATTTGGTTGTCCTGTGGGAGAGGTCAGAGAGGCAGAGAGAAGCAGAGAGGGGTGGATATGACGGCCGTGGCTAAGTGCGATGGGAGAACTGACTACGTAATAATGCAGCGGCAATGGTGCCGCTTCTACTTGAGACCGTCATGCTCTAGAGGAAACAAAAAAATACAATCAATTGTCGCAGTGATCTCCCCTTTAGTTGTCTGGGGGGGGAGGTCTGCATCAATGGCGAAGGACCGTTGTTGCGATTCTCGAATCCCACCAAAATCGTTTGTCCCGCGTTTAAAGAATATCGAACTTTTTTTTTTCTTCGGAGCTTCCATCAAAAACCCCTGCGCTTTGGATGCAGACCAGACTTAGCTAACCTTAGTGGTGCAGGTGGTGGTAGTACACTACAGTGGTACAACACAAGTATATAGGTAGGTACCTATGTATGTACATCTGTACTTACATATACATATAGGTGTAGTACAGTACGCATCACCCAAGCCACACCTCCTGTCAATACCTACCTGCCCGACAGAGTAGTAGGCGGGGTGGCAAGCAGGCGGGGTGCTCACCTGTACCTGCCCACCCGACTGCAGTCGGGTGACCTGAGGTCAGTACTTCAGTGTACATACTTACAAAAAAAGATGTGTGGCGGTGATAAAACAAATATGGGTCCATGTTCCTGCATTTGTATGGGCTATCGTCATCTTTTTCGGAGATGGACTTATCTAACCAACAACATCCATCCTCTTCCACTTCGTTTCAACTTCCACCTGTGTCTCCCCAGGCCAACATGCTACATCCATTAGCACCCCACGAACACGCCCGTTTCTCCTAACCTATCTAGATAGTTAGGAAACCTACCGTCAGCCCAACCGAATGAAGCTTTCATCTCACTTTGTCTTTCCTTGTCCGTGAAGGCAGCCGTTCTAGATTGATTTCCTATTTCCCAATGCGAGCCTCAAGTTGCGCCGATGACCTCTGTACGGCCCCGGGCCAGGCCACGCCCTCGCTCGTGTCAACCACGCTATCACTGAGTCCCTTTATACTCACCTTCGCCGCCGTTTCCATCCTGGTCCTACGAAACATCTTCCCCCAGCTATCGCGCATCCAAGGCTCTCGCGATGGCGAAGACCACTTCCTCCCCTCCGACGCCCCGCCATCGCTACAACAGGTCCATGCCGAGCACGGTGCCAAGTCGCTTCGGAGACGTATTGCCGCTGCCGCCTTCTCGACCACTATCGGGCTAGCTGCCGTTCTGGCAGAGTTGATTCTCTGTGAGATATCTGAGTTGGTAGATCCTCGTGCGCGAGAGACGGCCCTACGGATCACCGTCCCTACGCTGCTGTTCCTCCTCGTCCTGCTCATCCCCTTCCTCGAGCTGCAATCCCTCATTTCCAGCTCTGGCTGGTCCTTCCAGAGAACAGCAAGAGGTCGTCTGCCGCGGGCTGCCTGGATCCTGCAGTTTTCCATCTTCGGCATCTGGTTATTCGTGTTTTGGTCGCTTGGAAACCTGGTCCCAGTCGGTGGTGAGGTTGCACGTCCGAGCGCAAAGATGGCCAGCGTCGAATCTCAGACCGCTTCAAGCACACTGGCACGTGCATGTCTTGAGCGTATCGGTGTCATAGGCATCTCTCTTATGGCCTTGCTCTCCGGCTTCGCTTCTGTCTCGTCCCCGTGGCATACCTTTGGGAGCAAGGCCTCACGCCGTCCCGTGACAGACTCGGACATCTCTCGCAAACAAGCAGGCCTTGATGCTACCAATGAGATGCTTGTAACGAAACGTCATCGTTTGCAGGCTTTGCAGCGCAAAGTTGCCGAGGCCTCGTCCGCCAGCAAGCCCGGCTTTGTCACCAAGGTCTTTGGGTCTATCCGTGGGGGAGGTGACGCGGCCGAAATTCGCAGCTTACGACTAGAAATTGCCGGTCTAGAAGCGATGGAAGCCAACTTAGCTTCGAACTTGAGCGCGCTACGTTCGCGACAGGCCAACACTGCCCGTGCAGCCACTGCTGTCGGCAAGCTCCTCCTGGTCCCAACCTACGGGTTTAGCGTATATTGCGTGTATCGTATTGTGGCAACAACCCTGGCCACCCTCCGTCGTTTGTACTATCCCACAGCCTCATTTTCCTCCTCGGATCCCATCAATCGTTTACTGGGTCTTCTGGCCAAGCATTGGGACCCGAAGCTCGACCAGATCGCCTGGGCTAGACAGATCTCATTTCTGTTATCGGGTGTCATTCTTGCCGCCAGTGCAAACAGTGCCCTCCAAACCTTCCACCTGTTCGCTAAATGGACACCGGGCCTCCTATACCAAGCACAGGCAAACTTGGCATTGCTGATTGGTCAGATTAGCGCTATATATGTAATTTCTTCGGCACTGCTTCTGCGAAGCAACCTTCCTAAGGATGTCGGCAGCGCCGTAGGCGATGCACTTGAGAGCGCCTTGGAACCCGGCTTTGTGGATAGATGGTTTGAAGGCTGGTTCCTACTAGCCAGTATACTGACTGCAGGCGGCATCTGGTTAGGCGGGAAGATCGGCGAGATGGGAGAAGAATGGGACGACATAGGCATGGAAGAGATGGGCCAGAAACGATCATGAATAGAGAAATTTAATGAAAGTATATATGTTTTGGCGTTCTATTCTCTTCGACATTTTCGGCTCATAGATTAATGAATGAAAGACGGGACTCTTGCTTTATAGGCATGACGAGTCTGGGACGACTGGGCCATATTATCGCGTATCTTGTTAGTATTAGATACCTCCATTACCTTAATTGCACAATCTCAGATAAGTCTGAACTAAATTTTTTTTTCTCGTGGACTCTTAATTTTGCGACTGAATATGTCCGATGTCCTGTCAGTACCTAGCCGAAACCTAAGTATCTAAACCAGCATGTTCTCCCTCCCTTTCTGCTCCTACTTCCCCCGCCCTGAGGCTCTCCTAACCGCCCGTTCGTCCCATCCTCACGACGGCTTATCATTGCACCCGGTGGCGTCGAAAGCACAACCGCGGACCCCGAAGCAGTAGAGCTGTCCGTTGTCGTTGCTCATGATGTCGCCTATAATGTAATGTCGATCATACATCGGTATCAGTCAACCAATTTATATATATATATATATGTTTTGCGCGCGCCGGTTTTGTGTGTAATCTAAGAAAAGCATAAGGGGGGAGAGGGAGAAAGGGGAAAAGGGGAAAAGGGGAAAGGGGAAAGGGGAAAGGGGAAAGGGGAAAGGGGGAAAAGGGGAAATGCTTCTTACTCAGCTTGACACCGGTGCGCGAACCGTCGCCGCCGGCGCACTGGGCCTCGAGCGTGGTGTCGGGCTTGACTAGCAGGTCGGAGCAGCTCTGGGCGAAGTTGCCCTCGACGCGGCCGTTGAGCTGGCCGAAGTCGTTGGCGATGCAGCTGTGGTGGTTAGTAATGGTGGCTTTGTGTTATATGGGTTTTTATGTGTATATAAGGTTTCTTTTATATATTAATCTTACTCCGTACCTATAATAACTAGCTAACTAGTTACACAGAAACCCTAAAGGTTATGCGGACCTCCTGCGGGTCGGTGGGGGAGAAAACTAGCTCCCTAGTAAAAAACTCCCCTCCTAACCATGTAATAAGCTGCGAGTAAGCTGCCAACTAGCTAATCCATCTAGGTGCCATACCGCTGCCGATAGTAAAACTTGCCTCGACCTTTCCGGATTATAACGCCGTTTATTGCTAATTTAAGTATTCGCTAATGCGCCCGTCGCCGATAAGATTTTCCGACCGCAGACCGCGAACCTTTAAAGCCGAAAGTAATCTGCGTATTCGTTGCTGCTGGGGGGTTGGTATAGTGGTGGTGGTGGTAGTGGTGTTGTGAAGGGGGGGGGGGGCGTGAGAGGTCGTCGATAGGTCGTTGGTGTGTGGGTCGGCGTTCGAATTCCGCAAATCTTTTTGCTGACAAATCGCAATTGCCTGCGTGTCGGAGAAATTTGTCGTACGCTGCTCCGACGCAGCGTTTGCATTGCCGATTTCAGACAGCTTACACGCCTCTATTCTTAGGTCTGCCCGAGGTAAGTGTAGCAAGGCTCTTTATACGTGTATAGCCCTCACGCGCGCTACTTGCGCTAACTGCGCTGCCGTGGCTCACGAGCGCCAACTGCGCCTCGTGGCTCAACGGCATGGCTTCCCATTTAATGCCTAGGTACAGCAGGTCATGCATTCGAGTCTCGGCCGGGGCAGCGCCGAGAGAGAGACAGCGCTGAGAGAAAGCGACGCCGAAGCCTCGAATGCGCTGCTACCACGTGACTTTCTGAGAATCCAGGGAGCAAACGGTGCTCAGAAAAATCAGGGTGCCTCCTGCTAGATTCGAACCAGCGAGCCCTGCGCCTGCCATACAAGGTCACACCTGGCGCTTGACCACTGCGCCAGGAGGCGGTCCGCATAACCCTCAGGGTTCCTGTGTAACTAGTTAGCTAGTTATTATAGGTACGGAGTAAGATTAATATAATATATAAGGTTTCTTTTTTTTTTTTTTTTTTTTTTTTTTTTTTTTTTTTTTTTTTTTTTTTTTGGGGGGGGGGGGGGGGGGGGGGGGGGGGGGCAAGAAGACTTACTGGTTCAGGTTGATGACCGAGTGCCACAGCAGGCCGGCATCGTCTCTGCAGTAGCCTTGGAGCCACGCGTTGCTGTCCTGCTGTTGGACTGTTTTTGGAAAATCAGCCTTGAACATGTTGTGAACGAGGAAATCTGCGAATGGGAGATCGGATCGGGGGGAGTAGAGGGGTTTATTATCTTGAAAGGGGGGGGGGGGATGGGACATTATAGATATAGCTCGGCGAAGAGACGTGTGTGTATTTGGGTGTTATCTTTGCTTTCAGAGTGCTTACCCTTCCAGTGCTTGCATGAAGCCTCGAAGCTGTCTTGGTTACGAGGAGCAAGGGATGCCGAGGGCGCGGCGAGGACACCGGCAAAGGCGCCGCTGAAAGCGGCGATAGTAGCGAGGCCGACCATGGTTATGGCGATGTCAGCTAGCACGAGCTTCAGTTTGTTGATGTTATCTTCTGCTAGTAGAGGCGGACTGTCGTCTGTAGTGTGTTGCTGACGATGTGTGCTCTTGGTAGTTTGGGGAGAGAAGTATGTGCTCGATAGCCTATGCGGATGAGGACAGGTTAAGTATTTTTTCAGGGACCATAACTTTAAAAAGCTAGATTATTTACCTGAATTGGTAGCTTACTGGAAAATATCCCTTGGTGAATGGAAAGGGAAAGGGTTGCTCATGGCAACTATAGGAGTTTGCTGTCTAGGATGTCACGCAAGCAAGCACGGGAGCAATCCCTAGGAGAACTTGAAAGTATTAACTTCTAAGTAGTAAGTAACCCAATTAACTAGACGGCTCATTAACATGAATGTTTTCTCGTCACTCTGGCCCCCTATTTATCTCTAAGGGCAATTTAATTCACTTAACCTAACTTGAGTCCTTGATTCGCTATGTGCTTGTAAGTGAATAAAATGCTCCTGAGCCTGATACGACATAAGTAGAAATACTTTCCCTAGCTTCATATTTCAATATAGCCACTGTACCTGTAAGGGTTAATATAGATAAAAAGGGCTGCGTAATAGGGTCATTGTGTATTCACAGTAATCTGTCTATTTACCCATCTATCTAGGAAAAGGTTTGCCCTTCATTGACACTAGTACCTAACCCAAGTAATTATCCCATCATGAGTATCCATCGTGCCGTTTGCGTGCAGGAACGTGGTGGCATCACGCGCTCAGCAGAGACCATAATATCCTTTAATCACTCATTGCTTGGCGCCATTTATTTTGACTCGTCGTCTGCGCAGCTGCCAGTGCCATGAAGTTTGGCTCCATAGGAGTGTCCTCGTCGTCCTCGTCGACGAGATCAATAACTATGTCGGAGCAATCGTCGGCGGCAGTCTCCCTCGCTCCATATCTCTTGAGAAGTCCCTCGATAGATTGCCTGGCTTTCTTGATTTCCTCATTGTCGGTCTCGCCGGCAGACCATTCGGGTTGGGTTGTGGCACATATCTCCAAGGGGGTTTGTTGGCCTAGATTTCGGAAGAGATCCATCCCAGTATCTAGAAATTTGACAAAAGCAGAAGGGATGACACCATCCCGAGTCCCACGCCCATTAGCATCTGCGCATTCCTCGAGAAGAGTCTCAACCCAGCCGGGCTCAAGGTGATGGACAGCAAGTTGGAGAGGTGTAAAAAGGAATCCGGGTTTCGCTTGTCTCTTGATGGGCGTCTCTGATGAGTTACTAGGCCGGTTAGGTACGGGGTTGGGATTGGCACAAGCTCCCAGAAGCAATCTGAGCATGGTAGTGAGTCTGATACCGTTGGCCTCGTGGTCACAAAATATATCCATTGCGGTGTAGAGGATCTCGTTCTCGTGCTCAAATGTGGCGCCAAAACGGACAAATAGTTGCAAGAATTCCTGTGCTCCTTCTCGACGAATACAGAAGTCAAGGAGCGTTCCCGCTGGATCGTTTTTCAGCTTGAGGCTTGTAGTCCAGACCTTGATCGCATCGATCCGTCGCATATCCTTGATCCCAGAGGTTTCTAAGTACCTCTCTGCCAAATCAAGCCACTTCAGAAGGACGATATTGGTCAACGTGCCTGTGATCTTGTTGGCTGGCCAGACCTCCCAGGCCAGAAGCCTGTTCCAACGTGGGAAATTCTGGCGCAGAATTGCCACAACGCCTCTCAGTTGACGGAGATATACCAAGTGCTGAAACTCTGGCGCCAGAGAATCCATAACAGCAGATCGAAGCTCTTCATTGCGGAGTATATCTGCTCGACGACACCTCAATGCTTTTTCTGTCATACGTAAACAGTATTCCTCATATCGGCTGATAGGAGCATTGTCCGCATTTGCGCGTTGAGCACCGAAGTGGCGAAGGCCATTAAATATGACCATCAAATCAGTGTTACGAACACTGTTGTCGGATAGAGCGAAGAACTTAGCCGGTCCTTCTGCAGTTCCGGGGTAGAAGAGGTACTCCTTGACAGTGTAGTGCGCCAACGCGACCTGGTTAAATCTTGCATTTTCATTTTGTCGATTGAAATGGGTTGCTGGCGTAGACCGCAGTTTCTTGAGGTGTATCAAGCAACCGCATATGTCATGGAGAGTTTGGACTGTGTAGTTTCCGATATCGCCATAGGGAACGTTGTAGAGGCATGCCGCCACAAGGATTTCGGCCGTTGGGATCTCGGAAGTGCTGCTGCATATGAGAGCAAGCGCAGTTCGGGCAAATTCTTTGTCTCTCTGCGGTATGTTGGTCAAAATGCGCTCGTATGTAGCGAAAATGTCTTTCGGGAGTGTTCTTAGGGTTTCCAGAATGTCCTCTTTAGTTCGTTGGTTCTTGAGAACATCAAGCTGACAAACGGCCCAGCGAAACCTGTTTTGAGTATCTAAGTCAGGTAGGATCCCTCATTTGGCTGTCATGGATTGACACTTACATGCCTCTTGCTTCTTGGACGAGTCTGTCCTCAATTTCATTGAGAAAGGCAGTGTCCCATACTTTCCATGCACGACCCCTTTCCAGCTCACCGTGGATGAATGCTTTGATGTCATCCCGAACGTTTTTGTTCGACATGGAGATCTTGGAGCAACAAGCTGCAACGCCATTGATTGTGTCTATTATATCATGTTCCTCGCGGCTGGTAAATAGCAGGGATACCTTGCAGAAACGTTCACTGGTGCCAACCTCAGACAAGGTCTTGAGAAGAACATCTCGTGGCTGGCTCTCGTCAACGGCGTCGACGATGATATAGACTCGCTCGAATTGGTGGGATATCTCTTCCAGGCAGTCGAGAAGGTCTTGGATAGAGAGTGCTCTTTCCGCTTTGTATGCTCCTTGTAGCTTCGTAGGGATGAGGCGGCCAGCTTGTTGACTCAGCTGGCCTACCAAGCACTTGAGCATGGGGAGAGTCTCATCTAGAAAAAACCAATGTTAGCGTCAGTTTCCCCCAACGCATGGGTCTTTGCCTTTCTTTATATATCAAGATACTCAAAATACGGTTTAGAGAAAATATATCCCGAGGCATGATTGTTATTCAGACAGGAACGCATACCTTGGCGGCGGGTATGGAGGCAGTAATAATATGCACATCCCTGTGTATGGCAAGCATTGGCAGCTCTCTCGAAAAGATACGAGGCAAGAACAGTCTTTCCAGCCCCAGGTATGCCGTGTATCCAAATAAATCTGGATTGACCAGGCAAGTTTTGTTTGTTGAGCCATTGCTTCCAGGCGTCTTCACGAGTCATCCATGCGCACGTATTTGGTTCTTGAAGTTCTCGCATGCCCGCGTGCATGTTTCTTATCTCATCCCCCTTAGGAAACAGCCATTTTAACATCTTCCGTCTGTCAATTTCTATTTGTGATCGTTAGTAAAGCCCTACCAAAGTGGGGTGAACCTACCATCGAGGGATGCGTTGTTCTGCCGGATATCATCTTTGATGTCCCGTATCTCAGCCCTGATAACCTGCACACTCCTCCTATGGTAGAGTCAGCACCGAAGACAATGGTTTCGATGAAGCATTGCAACATACGCGTGTCCTCTGCTTAAGGCAATGTTGAGTGAGCTCTTGTGAGCTTCTAGTTTGGCGAGCAACGCATGCGCTTTTCGTTCTTTGTAAGGCCATTTCAGGTCCTCCAAACTTAGACGAGCTAGACCACGTATAATGTGATTTCCATCTAACTCTTCTTTGCGAGACTTAGAGCCTAGAAGTTCCAAGAGGCCCTCGATAGTGTTATGAGCCTCTTGTATGACCCCATTCAGATCTCCAACATATTGAAAAAAGCCAGCATCCCCAGTGTGAGTAGAAAGGAAGGATTGTAGGGCAAAGAGTTCCGTCTGGAACGTGGACACCTGGTCTTTGATAGACCGTATGTCGTCCGGTGCTCCATGCACAGAGCCAATATAGTGGCAACACTTTCTCATAAGCTGGTTACTGATCTCAGCCAAGCCAGCTATGCCGGTGACTAGGCCGAAGACCTCGGCCATGGTACAAGAGCAAGACGGCACTAGTGAGTATGTCAAACTATTTTCCGCGCTTGAGGGGGGGAGGGTAAGGTTCAGTTGACAGTTGAATTGGGTTGAGTTGAGAGGGAAGAGTGAGTGATGGCTAATGGCAAGAGGAAGAATATTAATATACAGGCAGGTGTTTGGCCAAGGTGTGTTTACACAAGGCAACGAGCCCGATGCTTGCTGGTATCTATCAGTTGTCACGGAGGCAACCTATGCCCCAGCAACATAAGGGGCTGCCTTGGAATCATTCTTCGATAGACGGGGCATAGGTGCCTAGGGGATGCTGACATTCAGTATCAATGCGGCTTTGGTTTCTAACATGGAGACCTGAAGGCTGGTTGTGTTCTCCATCAACAACCGCCTACATGTCTCAAGCTACA